CCCAAGAAAAGAAAGAGTAAATGCCAGAGGAGCTGCTGCTGAATGACCAGGGAATAGTCATATTTCACAAAATCAAGAGGAATAACCTAAGCGCACTTCTGCGAGACAAACACTTACAGCTGGACCAGGTTCTCCAGGAGGACCAGGGTCACCAGGGAAGCCAACTGGACCCTGAAAAGAGATAAGAAAGATAGCCCCAAGTCAGAGAGATTGCCTTTGGAGAACTGCAGAGCACTGGACACCTGTCACCCCAGCAACAACATGAGGAGTCACCCCACAGAACAAAATCTTAAGTCCTCAACCTCAAACAGTCCTAGCTCACATGCCAGCTTTGCATCTTCAGTATATTTCATCTGATCACAGTTATCAGTCCAGCTCCAGATCTGGACTATGGAAATCTCTGGTCTTAATGCTGTGAATTTCATCTAGTTTTTCACAAATATATTGCACAAGTAACAGTGAAATCCTCACAGCTTAGTGCAGATTAGAAGGTTTCACGTTTGCTTGCTACATGACGTGTAACTCTCTTCACACAAAGATCCTCTTAATGCATTTAATGACTAAAACACTTCATGTCTCTTCTCAGTATAATGCCTATTGCGCACTTCAAATGATTCTGAGAACAGTGCTCAGACAATAGGTTCCAACCAACAATGCAATATCCCAAAAACCCATCTGTTAAGAGAGATGACTAACTCCTCTGCCTCCTCTGCTGTTTCGTGCCATCTTTGCTTATCACATAATAAATTTCTTCAACCTGCAAGCATCAAAGGAGCAGGAAAGACAAATACTGTACCATTGTAATCCGGTATAAATCAGTATAGCTCTACTGGCTTCTGAAGAGCTATGCCAATTAGCTTCATCAGCGATCTGATCCTCAAAGCAAAAATCCTCAATTCACAGAAATTTCGTCTATGCTATTTCAGAAGCTTCACTGATGCAGAGGACCTTGCCAATGCATAAGCTCAAGTGCAAAGTAAACCTACTGTGGGCTCATAGAGATGAGTTTCAAGACAGCACGCAAAAAGACTAGTAACTCGAGTATTGTTGGAATACGTTGTACAGTTAGGTCTTTTCCTCATTAGCCCTGTAAAGGAATGGATTAATATCGCAGATCATTAAGGGGCATAATTCTTTGTCTGCTAAACTATTTCAAATTTCCACAAACATCTTTGGAAAATATCTTTGCACAAGGAAACCTCTGCTGGGCAAGACAAGGAAGCACTGTTCTGACAGAACGTGGTACTTACAGGGCTGCCCTTGGGACCATCATCACCTGGTGGACCTTTGGGGCCTGGTGGACCAGCAGCACCTGAGGGACCTGCTTCACCTTTTTCACCTCTTTCACCTTTAGGACCCTGAAAGGAAAAAGGATGTTTCCATTACCCAGATAAATAATCTCCTGATCTCTAATTATCTTTTAATCAGTTCTGAAAAAGAAGCTCCATTCGTATCTTAAAACACGTGGACATGGTTTAGCAATCCCTTCCCACAAAGATGTAATGTCATTCATGGTGTTAAACCGTGGGTAGACTATATTCAGCAACTATATGTTATACGACAAATATCCTGTAACATGGCAGTGCCAGCCCCTTGGGGCCACCAACGTCGTCTCTGCCTGGCCCCAGAACCAGAAGACAGCTGGTTCAGTCTCTGCAGTCCCATCCACATCCATGCCTTTCTGAAACCCCACCCCTTTAACCTTTGGGAAAACCACTGAAGAAAAGCTCTTCTGTACCGGAAGACAGAACATCTAAAGTCTACTAAAAGAGCAAGAGTCAGCCTGCAGCACACTTACCGGGAGGCCAACCTCCCCAGGAAGACCAGGCTCACCAGATTCCCCAGGTTCACCCTGCAGATGGGAAAAGGGGATGAACACAGTTATGCTGCTATTGCTATCGTACCGCATGGTCACAGTGGAGAGTGCTCCCAGCAGGTCCTCAGCAGGAGCGTGGAAGCAAAAGCTCATGAGAAAACAAACAAAAAATCATAAGCCATTATTTGTGGAGTAAGGGCTAAACTATTCTAAGTGATTCCAGCTACAGCATTGTCACTCATGGCCTGGCACTGACTGACCCGCAGGCCAATCTCTGAAAGGTGCTGAGTTTCTGCTGATGTGCCGAACATCATCTGTTCCCCTGAGCTCAGTGGGAGCTGTGGGTCTCAGCAGCGCCCAGGCTGACACTGCTTCTCCAGGAGATTTCCTTCTCCGTGCCCTTCAGCAGACACTGCATTATTATTTTCTTTTCCATGTGGGTGCATTTCCATCTTGTTGGCCCATAATAACAACAACTCTGCAACACATATATTCTGAAATAAATCTATTTACTTAACTGAGAAGAAAACACTATTACAAGTACCTCTGGAACAGAATTAAACATGCTTCAAGCTGGGAGAAGCTGCCTTCTTTAAATACACCTACTTATTTATACACCAAGTGAACATGCCAAATGACCACAGCCATGAATTATTCCATCACTACCCCACTCTCCTGCCCTAACTCTCACCTTTGTCACGCCCCAAAATAGTTCAGGCTCCAAGACAAATCCTCCCAGGGTTCTCTAATGAGACCACCAGCAATTGCAGTGATCAGCAGTGTGCAATGGCAGTTGGTAGGCACTTGTCCACCTGAGCCCTCTCAAAGATTCATTTCATGTGCGGGCAGTGGGGAGAAAGGAAGACGATGCTCACATCGTGAGCCAGAGCTACACTGACAAGCAGACCTGGCTTTTCTGTTTTCTTTCTCCATTTCAAATTACCACTGATACCTTAATGAAGAACAGCTTCTCATTAGCAAAGCCCCTGAGTGACTTTTGCAGCAAACTTCCTGCTGGCTTAAATCAGGTTTGCCCGGATGCTTTACCTTCTCTCCTACTGCGCCAGGATTTCCTATTCCTCCAGGAGGACCCTGTGGACCGTCTGCTCCTGGTGGTCCAGATGGACCTCTGGGGCCAGGTGGGCCTGGTGGGCCCTGAAGAAAAGGAGAGACAAATTTAAGACATGTTTTTTGAAGCAATATTTATATCAGTGATGAAAACGAAAGGAGAAAAACATCTTACCATTTGCCCAACATCCCCTGTTTCTCCCTTCTCACCAGGAGGTCCAGGCAAGCCCTGTGGAGGTGTTGGAGGGAATAATTTTTAGCCCAAGTGCAACTCTGACTCTCATTACCCTAAGCATTCCCTCGATGCTGGAAATTACCTGCAAGCCCACTGGGCCGGGGGGACCAGGGAAACCTCTGGGTCCTTCATCACCTTTCTGACCAAAGAGGCCTTGTTGTCCTCTGGGACCTGGCTCTCCATCAGCACCCTACAAGGAAAGGGTCTAACATGGCTTAGCACAGACATGTGCTACATGCAAAGCCCCATCCCCACCTCCTTTGGCAGTCAGTGGCAACGCTCCTCCTCACCGCGTGAGGAATGAGCAGTGCCAGTCATAAAGAGCAATCCTTTGCAGCATTTCCCAAGGACAATTTTTGATAAGAAATAGGATTACGACTAACAGGGGACAATACTCACAGCTGGGCCTGGCTGTCCAATCGGACCCTGTGGTCCTGTAGGACCTGGCGGACCCTGTCAGGAAACAGAAGTGCAGCGTCACATTTGGGAGCACAGACTAAGTACATTCACCTATAAAAATGAGACGCCCTTCCAGCACAGTCTCCATTAAACTGGCACAAACTCTCAGAACAGAGGAGCGGGAGGATCAGGTCACGTCTCCCTGGACGCACCAGCCTCCAGCAGGACTAGGGCCAACAGCACGATAGCACTGCGCCCAAGGACATGTCTAAAGAGTCTCACTCCAAAATTTGTTTTGCAAAACATTTTCTGGGGAGATGGAAGTCAGAAATATTTCTGGAAAGAAAGAAACTATCTGTGTGTTGCTGCGTAACATAGCACGTCTGACATGTCACTGTTACCTCCAATATCACCTCCTAGGGGGTAAGGCTAAATACCTGAAGGACTAAGAAAGCCAAAACCCAGGCAGTCTGCCCTCTTCCTTCAGTACACTGACAAGAGAATCTTGTTTTGGTCATCAGTCACACATCTTTTCTCCAGTAAAGCAATATCATACCATTCAGTTCTCTCTAGATACTTATGTGTAGTATCTTTTCCATTCCTCAGCAACTGAGCATATAAAGAATGTTTTAATATGTTACAAGCAACTAGAAACAACTGTTACAGCTCAATACACAACCTTAATTGCAAGGGTTGCTAATGTTTCACAGACATTTACATAGTGGAAAGGCGACATGGAAACAACTCAGTGTGTTCCAGTGACCCGGAGAAGAAATGCACTTCAGTACACTCATTCTGTTTTACATTGTATGGGTATGTCATGAAGAAAAGGTGAGGGGAGAAATAACAGGAAGAAATTAAAAATGTATAATTTTCTATCTCTAGCAAATAACACAATGTAACCACATGTTGCTACAGGAAAGCAATTACCAAAGACACCTGTCCCACTTACCTGTTCCCCTTTGTCGCCCTTGCTGCCCTTCTGGCCAGGTTCCCCAATCTCGCCCTGTCAGGTATAAAGGCGCACAGTTAGTTCACACGCTTTAGCAACCACTTACATATCTCAACAATCAAGTAACAGTCCTGCGCATCTGGGCCCCGTTCCAAAGATGCCAATTCCCATAAACCTTCCCCTAATAAGTTTTGAAAAAGGCCAGGGGATTTGGCCACTCCAGGTATAACCAAACCCTTTTGCATCCTAAAACGTTTCTGAGCTACTGGCTAGATGCAGGAAGTATCATTTTGCTAACCTTGTTAGCAGCGATGAGCGATACAGCCCAGCTAATGTTTTCTCAGAATCCTGCTGTCCAGAGGGGTTTAGTGAAAGAATGGGGAAATGTAATTAACTTGCAAAGGACAGGAACCTGAGCCCAGGCCACCTGGTACAAGCTTATGGGGAGACTAACTGCAATTCAACAAACAGTTTAGTTGACAATGCTCATGCAGCACAGCCTGCCTGATTCTCTCTCAAATCTGACTCTGCAGATCCAATGGGATTGCAAGCACCACAAAACATACTTGCGTTACAATATGCAGCATATCCGACACCATGCAACGCAAGCGGCACGTCAGCATGGTAGGGAAAGGTCATGCTGCAGAGTTTCTTCCAAGAGCAACCCTGCACAGCAAAGAGACTTTTCTCACCTTGTCTCCATCTTCTCCAGGTGGCCCAACAGGACCTGCTGGGCCTGGGAGTCCAACTGGGCCCTGGATGCCATCCCGACCAGCTGGTCCTTGAGGACCTTTCTCACCCTGGAAATATAATGAGTAGACAGTTTACATGGCACTCTCCTCCACCTTCCAATCTACCCATTAAATACCATCAAGATTCGTCAGCTACTGACCCCTGATGACATAATCACGTATAACAAAACCAGTTTTCAGCAGATATTTCATAGGTCTCTCTGTGTTCCCTGTCTCAGGCAAGACAAAATTTCTACCTCAGGAGACAAAGAAAACACAAATAAATCTAAATGGCGGATACCTACATCACAGCTGCAATTTTGCTGAAAACATAATCATGCTCAATCTGAGCCCTCTGTCATCTCTCTCTTTCACTACGAGGAACAAGACTCCAACTATTTTTTATTCCCACAAGCCAATTCTTACTGATGCCAGTCCTGACTGCCTGAACGCTTACAATGCCTCCTTCCTGGCTACTGAGCAGCAGATGGAAGTTTCTCAGGAGACCCTGACCTCCCTCCTGAGCCTTCTCGACAAAGGAAAACACCTTAAGTGGATAAAACAATTTCTGCTACCTCCTGCTTAAACAATCTACTTGTATTCCTCAAACCTGGAGCCTTCAATCGAATTTGTTTGTTTATAGGAACTGAACAGTGGATATTTTCCAGTTTCCTAGCACATAATTTAATTGCATCTAACTCCTGGGTGCTCTCCTCTGAATAATTAGATGCCACATAAATTGCCTATTCATCTATCCAATAACACATCATATAGACACTTGGCAGTACAGATGTTCATAGAGCTGATTCACCAGGAAATTCTTGCCTCTGGACTAGCAGCTAGCATTTCTAATAAGCCTGCAAATACAGAATACAGTAGTGGATAAACAACTTTAATAACACCGATCAATCAACTTAAGTGTCCTAGCCTAGTCTGAAAACACTGATGCCAGCATCTGCCCATTTTCCTGGATCTGAAGCGGAGCCCCAGTTTGAACCACGCAAACCAAAAGTCAGTGAAATTTCTCTGCAAAACCATTTGGGTGTGAAAGAGATGCACAGCCTTCCTCCTTGGGACTGCCACGACGCTGTGCTCTTCAATCACAAAAATAGTCTCTCCTACCTTCACGTGATGCTTCACGCGCACGCCTCAGGAGCGAAAGACTTGACAGCCTGCACAGGCTGGTGAACATGCAGGAGAGGGACCATATGGCAGGACTCAGCAGCTACCTGCTCGAGTACTGCTTAAAGTAGCCCTTCCTACGGGTGCCAGTGGGATGACTTGGTACACGTGTGCTGTAGGAGCACGCAGCATCCCCAACCAGAAACACAACCCCCGCCGTGCCACCTCACGCGGGCTCTTGGCCGGGGACAGAGCAGGCATAAGGATTTATTTTATTCCTCACCACTTTTTTCAGAGCGGTTGCTACTTCTGTTGCTTAGCTACAGTCTAGGATGGCTTATTCCATTTCACCCATTCTCCCTTCAAAAATACTGCTCAGATTTGGGCCCAATGGAAATGCTGTGGCTGTTGCTTTACTCCCATTCTTGTAAGAGCTGATGAGGTTCACTTCACTGCCCAGAGGCCTGTCCTGTGGCTATTTGTCACAACAAGGTCACACAGGCTGTCATTTCACCTCTTCAGAGTCTGTATACCTTCTTATTGCCTGAGGTCATTTTAGTCCCTAGGATCGCATCCATTTTTGATAGCATGGATGTCCCAAACAGGGCGCTTTAGCAGATAACGCTACCTGCTTTGATGCACCAAAGATTAGACAATTCTTCCTTAATTGGATTCTTAATTTTTTTTTTTCCTTTTTCCTTTACACACCTACCGCAGGGACTGTCTCCACACTCAGCTCTCCAGCATACAGATCTCTATTTGACCCACAGCTGTTAATCTTATACTAGTAACTTACTGGGGCTCCCTTTTCCCCTGCAGGTCCCGGAGGTCCCTGTGGACCAGGTCGCCCTGGCAGGCCTATTGGGCCAGCTGAACCCGCAGGACCTCGTTCACCAGGAGAGCCCTGTTTGGAGAAGGAAGGAAGCATTAATCGACATATAACGCTTTATACAGCTACAGAAAGAAAGTAACCCAGCAGTAGGATGCTGCAAGTGCATAAAGTGCAGATGTCAGTACACAAACGTGTTTGACAGGGTGACTGCCATGTAATGACTGGTACCATCCGCCCAAGGGGTTTAAATTAAAATCCTTGAAATGGCCAAGTTCCTTTTTGGGATGGTGCAGGGAGCTCACTTCCTGGGGGCATATTATCAGAGTCTGGAAAAAGAGCATGAGCTGTTTCCCAGCTAATGCAGCAGGCAGGGTTCGATGATGAATGTTTTCTTCCAGGAGGGCTGCACTGTGCAGGTGGGAACAGCTTTCAGAAGGAAAGCTGGTGACTTAGGAGCAAAATGCTCAGCTTCCTCATTCTTGATGTCCTGAACCATACAGTTCCCTCAGCTTGTCACATATGTTCATGGCTCACACATAAAATGACTGAGCTATTACATGTGTGTCTTGTAAAATAAAGCAGTACCCAGTACGCAGTAAGTTAGTGCAAAGGGAAAAATGGATAAAGTACAGGGCTGTGACTAAACCTCAGTTTTGGCTTGCCAAGCTTGTTAAACGTGTTAGGTGGTGCCTGTAAGGACAAGGATACTTACTGCTGGACCCGGGGGGCCTGGGGGACCTTCATTGCCTTTCAGTCCTGGAGTACCCTGGAAAGAAGACGACAGGAAAACCAAGTCGTTTCTGGAGCTGTGTGCTGCGCTGCCTGTGCATCCTTCTCACTGGAACGACCAGAGGAGCCTCTACTTACAATTGGGCCAGGGAGGCCTCTCTCTCCAGGGAAGCCTCGCAAGCCGGGGGGACCATCCTTTCCTGGGAGACCAGCAGGACCAGGGTCACCCTGCAATGACAATGATAAATACCTAAGGATCTGCAGACTCCATAAGGACCCAGCTCCTCTCTCTGGACTCAACTCTTGGTGAGACATTGTGAAACATGATTTCTTTCCTGAATCTTCCCTTCTCCACCTTTAGGAGAGAGGCAGGCATCCGGACTTGCAAGGAAGCTGAATTCAACAGCCTGCTGGCTCCCCATCCTACAAAGTGAACTTGGACTTCTCCTCATCTCTGTCACACGCTGCAGATCAGACTGAAATAGTAGCCACAGCAGATGGGCAAACAGCCTACCTTGGTCCCTTCCTTTCCAGTGAGGCCAGGAAGACCTTGTTCACCAGGGGGACCTGGAGGGCCTGGATGTCCCCGCTCGCCCATTGGGCCAGTCTCACCGGTTGGACCCTAAAGAAACAGGGATTAAAGAGAAAGTGTTGGAGATCAGCAAAGCAAGCAGCGAAGAAACTGGCAAAGTTTATCAGTTCGGCCCTTTAAGTTGCAATAGGACAGAAGATGCTTCTTCCCTTTGCTGTCACGCATGGTGACACTGGGAAACCTGATAGGGATGCTCTCTTCAACTTATAAGGGGATGTTGTTGTGGAGGTGGGTAAAATGGCATTCAACAACCTAGAGGAACTGTGAACCTCTGGAATTCAAGTGTTCACATAAATGACAGATATTACCACAACAGTTATTATGCTTAGGGCTTTCAATATAGAAAGCTTCCTAAGTATTCTACATTCATGCTATTTCTTCCTTGTATTGGGCATAAATAATGCATTAGGCTTGTAGTACATGGCAATTATTGACTGCCTCTGTGCCGTACATGGGCACTAATGGTGACAAGTGTAACATAAGGCTCTAGGCAGAAGGTTCCCGAGTGGCCCATTTGGGAGCAGGACAAAAGCCACATGCACAAGACCATAACACCCCTGCACATTGGTGTCTGCTGGGACCGTGGTTATAATTCATGTCACACTGCAGGGTGCTACTTAGTGTAAGCAGAATGATAACGTCGTGATCACTCAGCAACCACACATCACACTAACTACACACAGCAGAGCCAAATAAAATTGCCACAAAACCTAATTTGCACTTGAGACAACGGACGGAATCAGGGAATTGCCCCTAATCAGGGAATTTATAAACAGTAGAATTGGCGCCACCATTAAAGAGGACAAGTTAATTACTTTATAATTAAAGAGCATACCTCCCCAGCAGTTCAGAAAAGACGACTATGAAAACCCAGTCCTATTCAAGCTACGACTCGACCTATAAAACTGATGCATGAGGCCTGCAAGCCTGCACTCAGGGGTACAGATACCCGTTGTGCGGATACTATTTCCAGACTGCACAAAGTTCATTGTTCCTCACGGTTGTTTAGTCAGGTTCTGTGCAGTATCTACTGCAAAGTTAGGTAGGATGGAAAAGGACCAGAGATGGTGTCTGTCTCTCATCTCACACCAATTTCACACCAAGCTAGGTCTGTTAACTTTGCAGGAACTACCTTATTTACACTGGTGAGAGTGCTGTGCCACTGCTCACCCCTCACATCGCAACGTGCCAAGCAGGACACAGCTGTGGGCCTTTGGGCACTTTATCCAAGCTCCATCCTAACACCTAAACAAGCTGGGCCTCTGCACAAAGACAGTAAACTCAGATCCATTGCACAGTGATGGAGGCTGGGGTGGTTTAATGCTCTGGCCAAAAATCTTGAAGACATCACGCTCGCTTTGATGTAAGGTCACCTCCCCTGTAGCAGAAGTCTCCACGCTGGGCAATCTGCCATCCCACCAGCTCCCAGCTAAGCCAGTGCATCCCCGGGATCTCCATCCTGGGGTGCTGCACTGGCAAGGCTCGGCCACGGAGCCGGTGTGAGCACGAGCAGCTGTTTCTTACCTGAGGGCCTACAACACCAGGAGGGCCTGGAGGGCCTGTCTTGCCTTGGAAACCCTGTTGGAAGAAGGGAAAAGACAAATAGATGACACTTCTCACAAGCAGTCAAGCAAAGGTCACAGACTGCTTCTGGACTGCTCCTCCTCTGAGGAGATTATCAACTATGAAAGGATGGACACCCAAAGGCAAAAGAAAGAAGAAATCAAACAGAAGACGGAAAATCTCTATCTGTATATTTACAGGGGGGGTGGAGGGGAAAAGCGACGATCAAAGTCTTTCAGCTCCAGCAAGGACTCTGAGAGCAGCACTCCCTGGGAGAGTGGGTCCTTCTGACAGCAACTAGATCCTCAGCTCAGCTCTGCTATTTTGATGGAGCTACTGCAGTTTGCCTGAAGGACTGGCCATATATATAAAAAATTTGCTACGCTCATGAAGCCTACAGAGGAAATGGCCATTAAAAAGTCAGAATGTGCGAGTTTCTTAATGCTGAGCAATTCTTAATAACCATTTCCATTCTCCTACTCCCAGTTCTGGTATAATTGCTATTTTATGCTTCACTCCTCAGGAGCTCCGAGACTGGGCGACCGTCTTTCACTTTTTGCGTAGGCAGCACCAATCCCTAGTTCTGCTGAAGCACGCAACCATGTCAGCTTTGAGTTTTGAGTGAAGTTTTATTTCCTTCATCAATACGGGCTGAAAAAAATCACAAATGTGTTTCTCTTTGGATCACCAAATGACGATGAATAACAAAGTCTGCAAATCTGAGACCCATGACAGCTTCTTATAGTGACCTTTAAAGGGTGACAGTAATGAACTGTCACCACTGCAATTGTTTAGTTCTCCTAAACCACTCTTTAAAAAGCACATAATTATCATGCTTACTATAGCATGTTGGCGTGCTTGAGAAATGTCATTTAGGGCTTAAAGGCTAATTTTCTCATTGCCACGAAAGATGATCAGATAAGTCCCAAGCCAATGGAACAGTGTCATGCTAAAAAAATTCCCAACAGTGTTAGAGTTCCCTGCAGATCACTGAAAATCACAAAATCAAACGGTTGAGAAAATAAACGTTGACAAAATCAACGGCTGAGGTTAGAAGGGACCTCTGGAGATCATCTAGTCCAACCCCACTGCTCAAGCAGGGTCATCTAGAGCACGTTGCCCAGCATCACGTGCAGGCAGATTTTGCATATCTCCAGGGAAGGAGACCGCACAGCCTCTCTGGGCAACCTGTGCCAGTGCTCAGTCACCCTCACAGCAAAGAAGTTTTTCCTCATATTCAGACAGAACGCCCTGTGTCCCAGATTGTGCCCGTTGCCTCTTGTCCTGTCACTGGGCACCACTGAGAAGAGTCTGGTCCCATCCTCTTGTCACCCTCCCTTCACATACTTGTACACAGTTGATGGGGAAAAAAAAAAATCCCACAGTTGATGGGGAAACGGCAAAAAATCTGTATAAAACAAAAGTACAATTTAAACCCCATTTTTAGAAAAATATTTCAACTAGTTCTATGCTAGATTAAAAAAAAATTATTCTATTACCCTGTCTGAACCATAGGCACAGACTTAGAATTTCTTTTTCTATCTTTTTTTTTTTCCCACTCCAAGTTAGTAAGTCTAACATGGCCAAACATTTAGGCGTTCTTCAGCCTACTTTTGCCCTGTATTTGCTAACTCAAAAGCAAAAGACAGGGAACTACACGACACACAGATTTCAAGTCTGTGTTTTCGTGCATGAAGGTACAGGGTGCGCCAACAAGGCTACTGACGCGGAAATAATATTTAATTTGTTTTTGTGCTTATGTCCTCCCCTTTCGGCATGGCGTAAGGAAAGGGGACACAAAAGGGAGAGAGAAACGGGAAATTATCTTAAGTGATACAGCGTTGGCCATTTGCTTTAAAACTCATCCTAGGTATTAAAGTGGGTAGCCTCACAGACAGCCTAAACTGAACGACTTCTAACAGCTGAAAGCTGGAGTTACAAAAAGGGCCGGCACAGAGGCCCCCGGCCGCAAACCCGGGGGTCGCTGCGCGCGCCCCAGAGCAGCCGGGGGAAAGGGATCTTTGCAAACTTCTTCCAGCCAAAGATGAACAGAAGTTTGTTTTCTGGAAGTATTCGTTCAAATAGGTAAGTCATGACCAGAACGACTAAAGAAAGCTATCAGGGAATACTTTCAAACCCCAAATAATTGAAAGCCATGTTCAAGGCCCACTCGGGAGCCGGACGCTCTGTTCCGGTCTCAAATGTTGAAAGCAGCAGAAGCAAGCAAAGACTTTACTGCTTTTTCTAATCTGAATGCAGGTGTCCCTAATGTCATAGATAACTCAATGAAGGAAGACCAAATGTCACAATCGGACTTTGGCAGGTGAAAACTCTTCTCCTCACCTTTAAGCTGATCCTGACCTGAGGACTGGGTGCTTGAAAATACCACAAGCGTTGCCATAAAGTCAGTCTTACGGAGCGTAAATAAATATCCGGTGTTGCATTTAGCAGTATTTGCATTGCCTTTCTCAGCAAATGCCAGGCAAGTTAATTAAATTTTTGTGAGATAAGTTGAGGGGAAAAAAATGCATAATGTGCAAAGCCTTTTTAATGCTCATTTGCTAGGAAAGGCACTGGAGAAAAATGCAAAGCTGAGCAGAGGAAGTTGGGTTTTTTTTTTTCCTGTCAAATAAACACAGAACAAAGCAGCGTCTATCTGCTAACATGCAGCATGCAGTGTGGGGAGAGCAAAATATCAACAGCAGCAAATGAGCCGGATTGTAAACAGCTGAGGAAAAAGAATAAAAATCTCAAAAATGTAAACCAGAAAGATACTAATCACTGCATGCACAAGAATACATGGCACAATCATCATTGCTGCTTAGGGTATCCTTTAAGCAAAAAAGGGGCAGAAAACAGATCACCAGAGACGTACAACAGCCGCATTATCATACCTTCCACATGCCTCATCATTCTCCTTTGGTGAGAAACAATGATTACATCTGTGCAACAAAATCTTTTAAAATTGACAAAGCAGTATGCGCACAATACAGTAAGGTACCTAAAACAGCCAGGAGCCGCTCCTTGCGTTGCAGCCACCTTCTGCAAAAAAGGCTGGCTTCGGAAAGTGGTTATTGCTGGAGGGGGGCTTAGGCAAAACGTTGCGAGGCCGCCACAAGTAGCTTTAGCTAAAAGGCAGCATCAGCAGGGGTGCTCTTCTTACCGGTGCGCTAAAGCAGTGGCTGATGCGTGAGCGTGCTGCAGTAACCAGTATGGACAGAAAAGCCAGAGCAAAACCATTGCATCATTGCTGTTGGTCAGGAATTGCTTTCTTTTCAAAGCAGGTACTGTTAAAACTGGGCTGTAACTCTCTTCTGCTGTGCAACAGTTCTTGGTGTTGGCCATGCGAAGCATCAGAAACAGGGAAAAGCGTTTATTTCTCCCCATCACAGATTCCACAGAAAGTAAAATCGGTAAAGGAAGCTGCCCCCGACCTAAGCAGCTGTGGCTGAAAGCTGAGAGCTTCGGCTGTGAAGGAGGAAGCCCATTTCAAAGGAAAAATTTCTGCTATCACAGATCTAGAGTTCTGCCACTGGAACACAGAGAAGAAAAACCCACACATTTCCAAGGGAAAGA